TTTTCTTTTAAAAACATATAAACAAACACAAACAACATCTGATCCTTCAACTGTGTTATATGTAGGAGATCTGATTAACTCTTAAGACCAGTAAAGCCATATTTGGTTCTTTTACAAATGGGGGAACTTTGAACCAACAACATATAATATAGTTTAAGGTCATTGAATGTACTGCATAAAACTGTGTAAACTAAATTATCTGTCATAAAAACCGCTGGACAAACAAACAAATAAAAAATAACAAACTGAAACAATACAAAAGGTGATGAAAATACACAAATTATGTTCACATATTTTTGCTAAATATGGTTATAAAAAGCTCATTATCGGGCCTCAAAACAACCCAGAGGACATTTTGCACATTCTCACTTTAAATAAAAAGTACATGTTCCAGTAATATTAAACAAATATTTTTTTTTTAGAGAAATTTGGACCTTGCATTAATTTTTTACACAGAAAAAAAAAGTTAATTTAAAGCTGACTGATTTTTATGCACACTGTATCAAAAAAAAAAAAAAAAAAAAAAAAAAAAAATTAAAATTAAAACATTACCACTTCCAGCTGAGTAAATCAAATATCCCTTTTCACTGTTGCATTGTCACAGGGTTATGGAAGAACTGTACACAATACACAGATACTTAATACAAAGCCAGTGAGAATACATTTGGATCAATGTGTTACAATATTGGACTGGTTATATGGGATTCTGTGTGTGTAGTCCTTGACAGACATACAGTACCATGTAGTTACCAGTAATAGATAGGTACAATACTGTACAGTCACAAAGTATTCACAAAGGGTATATACAACAGCTTTGGAAACACTGTTGGGTCATGCAGGACATTTTTTCCCCTCATAAAAATGCAGTTCAACAGTAACAAAGTGACAAAAGGAAATAGCACAGGCGTTTCTATAAAATACAGTGATTTTAAAAACTTCTGTAGAAGCGTGTGGGATGTTAAAATCCTGCTCTTACACCAACATATTATCCAGGCCCGAACCCTTACAAAAAGTGTAGGACAGCTTTGGTGATGTGTATCTGATTAATGTGGGACAGGCATAAAACACATAACAATGAATGTCAATAAAAAAAAATAAAACCATGAATTTGAAAAAAAAAAATAAATAAATATAAGCAAGTGAAAAATAATTTGCTCAAGCACATTTAGGCTGGACTAAGACAAGAGGAGCCATTGGCACACATGCACTTGTGGACAAAATGAATTTAATGAGGAAGAGCAAAACATTACAATAAATACACAAGAACAACTGCGGATTAGGTGGAGAAACACACACGAGACAGCTCACAGAACGGACTGCTTCACCTTTCTTCCATTCACTAGTTTACTTCTCTCTCTCGAACCTTTCCACTTTCACATACACTCGCGGGCAAACAGAAGAGGACACTTACACACCTATGTATATACACTCGCTGACACACACACTACATTGCGCAATGTGCGCTCATTTCCTCAGGTGACACTGGAGGACATTTGTCCTCTCAGTGCTGATTCTGATTAGTTCCAGTTATTCAACTGTCACACATACACTGGGAAGTCTGGGGGTCAAAGGGCATGTGTCAAAGTTTTGGAAGAACACATTTCAAATAGGATAAAAACACTCCTACAGGACAATGGTTTTCCCTCGAATGCTCATCTTTTTTCACAAAAGGAAAATTATAATTAAAAACAAAACAAAAGGTACAACACTTTTCATAGAGCCCACAAAGGTTCCCACCTCCTCCGTGTTGTTACACATGATTATAGCTGCACAGTTTTAAGTTGAAAAGTCACAAATATCGTATATGTATATATACTGTATAATATCACTTTAGTGCCCACCAACATGGCTGTAAATTTAGTGTTTTGAGTCAGAGGCGGTTGAACTGGTGTGTGGAATCTTTACAGGAGGCATAATGGGAGTGCAGGGATGAG